GGCAGTTACAGCAGTGTCGGCAGTTACAGCGTTGTTGGCAGTTACAGCTGTGTTGGCAGTTACAGTAGTGTCGGCAGTTACAGCTGTGTTGGCAGTTACAGCATTGTCGGCAGTGACAGCGGTGTTGGCAGTTACAGCAGTGTTGGCAGTTACAGCGGTGTCGGCAGTTACAGCAGTGTCGGCAGTTACAGCTGTGTTGGCAGTTACAGCAGTGTTGGCGGTTACAGCAGTGTCGGCAGCTACAGCAGTGTTGGCAGTTTCAGCAGTGTCGGAAGCTACAGCAGTGTTGGCAGTTTCAGCAGTGTCGGCAGTTACAGCAGTGTTGGCATTTACAGCGGTATTGGCAGTTACAGCAGTGTTGGCATTTACAGCGGTATTGGCAGCTACAGGAGTGTTGGCAGATATAGCAGTGTTGGCATTTACAGTAGTGTTGGCGCATTTACAGCAGTGTTGGCAGTTACAGTGGTGTCGGCAGTTACAGCATTGTTGGCATTTACAGCAGTGTTGGCATTTACAGCAGTGTTGGCATTTACAGCAGTATTGGCAGTTACTGTGGTGTCGGCAGTTAGAGCAGTATTGGCAGTTACAGCAGTGTTGGCATTTACAGTAGTGTTGGCGCATTTACAGCAGTGTTGGCAGTTACAGCAGTGTTGGCATTACAGCAGTGTTGGCATTTACAGCAGTTTTGGCAGTTACAGTGGTGTCGGCAGTTAGAGCAGTGTTGGCATTTACAGTGGTATTGGCAGCTACAGGAATGTTGGCAGATATAGCAGTGTTGGCATTTACAGCAGTGTTGGCGCATTTACAGCAGTGTTGGCAGTTACAGCAGTGTTGGCATTTACAGCAGTATTGGCAGTTACAGTGGTGTCGGCAGTTAGAGCAGTGTTGGCATTTACAGCGGTATTTGCATTTACAGCAGTGTTGGCATTTACAGCAGTATTGGCATTTACAGCAGGGTTGGCATTTACAGCAGTATTGGCAGTTACAGTGGTGTCGGCAGTTAGAGCAGTGTTGGAATTTACAGCAGTATTGGCAGCTACAGGAGTGTTGGCAGATATAGCAGTGTTGGCATTTACAGCAGTGTTGGCGCATTTACAGCAGTGTTGGCAGTTACAGCAGTGTTGGCATTTACAGCAGTGTTGGCATTTACAGCAGTTTTGGCAGTTACAGTGTTGTCGGCAGTTACAGCAGTGTTGCATTTACAGCGGTATTTGCAGCTACAGCGGTATTGGCAGCTACAGGAGTGTTGGCAGTTAGAGCAGTATTGGCAGTTACAGTGGTGTTGGCATTTACATCAGTGTTGGCATTTACAGCAGTGTTGGCATTTACAGTAGTGTTGGGAGTTACATCAGTGTTGGCATTTACATCAGTGTTGGCATTTACAGCAGTGTTGGCAGTTACATCAGTGTTGGCATTTACATCAGTGTTGGCAGTTACATCAGTGTTGGCAGTTACATCAGTGTTGGCAGTTACATCAGTGTTGGCATTTACATCAGTGTTGGCATATACATCAGTGTTGGCATTTACATCAGTGTTGGCAGTTACATCAGTGTTGGCCGTTACATCAGTGTTGGCATTTACAGCAGTGTTGGCATTTACATCAGTGTTGGCATTTACAGCAGTGTTGGCAGTTACATCAGTGTTGGCAGTTACATCAGTGTTGGCATTTACATCAGTGTTGGCATTTACAGCAGTGTTGGCAGTTACATCAGTGTTGGCAGTTACATCAGTGTTTTGCAGTTACATCAGTGTTGGCAGTTACATCAGTGTTGGCATTTACATCAGTGTTGGCATTTACATCAGTGTTGGCATTTACAGCAGTGTTGGCAGTTACATCAGTGTTGGCAGTTTCATCAGTGTTGGCATTTACATCAGTGTTGACATTTACAGCAGTTTTGGGAGTTACATCAGTGTTGGCATTTACATCAGTGTTGGCATTTACATCAGTGTTGGCATTTACATCAGTGTTGGCATTTACAGCAGTGTTGGCAGTTACATCAGTGTTGGCAGTTACATCAGTGTTGGCATTTACATCAGTGTTGGCATTTACAGCAGTGTTGGGAGTTACATCAGTGTTGGCATTTACATCAGTGTTGGCATTTACATCAGTGTTGGCATTTACATCAGTGTTGGCAGTTACATCAGTGTTGGCAGTTACATCAGTGTTGGCATTTACATCAGTGTTGGCAGTTACATCAGTGTTGGCAGTTACATCAGTGTTGGCAGTTACATCAGTGTTGGCATTTACAGCAGTGTTGGCAGTTACATCAGTGTTGGCATTTACATCAGTGTTGGCATTTATATCAGTGTTGGCATTTACATCAGTGTTGGCAGTTACATCAGTGTTGGCATTTACATCAGTGTTGGCATTTACAGCAGTGTTGGCATTTACATCAGTGTTGGCATTTACAGCAGTGTTGGCAGTTACAGCAGTGTTGGCAGTTACAGCAGTGTTGGCAGTTACAGCGATGTTGACAGTGTTGAGATTTAAATGGTTCAATAAAATCAACTTTACGGAACATTGTTTCAGATGCCCCATTATATTCAAAACAATTTGAGATACAGCACTATTCAACTTTGTTTCTATTGCCCCAAAATCTCAACTTTTATCCTTTACCCCAGAATATCAGATATCCTACTATTCAAAATAATCGGCACACCACTGTTCAAATTTCTAAAAAAAATATCAGATACCCGACTGTTAAACATCTATTAACAAAAATTCATTTTAACGTTACGGAGAACTGAATAAGCACTTGCACATCATGAAACCTGACTATTGAATGCATTGATTTCCCTAGCTAACTCAGACAACTATGCCTACCTGATGCCTGTGCTGAGAGCTGTGATTGAGAAAGGTCAAGAACTCTTGACCACCAGCATTCATCTCCCTCATCTTCCCAAGTCATCCATGCGTCCCACATTTTTTGATGACTTCAAGACATATGTGTACAGTGAGGAATGGCAGACGTTTATAAAGAGCTATGTGAGTATGTGTACACTGGCAGACATTCATTGAGTGTGTGTCCAGTGATGAATAGACATACATGGAATATGTGTACATTGGCAGACATTCATAGAATGTGTGTACAGTGATGAATGGCAGACATCCATAGAATATGTGTACAGAGATGAATGGCAGACATTCATAGAAAGCATGTGTGCAGTGATGAATGGCAGCCATTCATAGAATATGTGTACAGAGATGAATGGTAGACATCCATAGAATATGTGTATAGAGATGAATGGCAGCCATTCATAGAATATGTGTACAGAGATGAATGGCAGACATTCATAGAATAAGTGTACAGAGATGAATGGCAGCCATTCATAGAATATGTGTACATAGATGAATGGCAGACAATAAGACAAACATGGAAAATGTGTATATTCGCAGACATTCATAGAATGTGTGTACAGTGATGAATGGCAGACATCCATAGAATATGTGTATAGAGATGAATGGCAGACATTCATAGAATATGTGTACAGAGATGAATGGCAGACATTCATAGAATATTTTTTACAGTGATGAATAGCGTCATATAATTGTTGTCGTGGTTCTTGTAGGTTGGACCCCAAATGATCCACTTCATGGAGATGAACTTTGAGAAGAGTGCCCAGACCATGATGCACTTCTGGTCAGACTGTCATGAGGAGATGATGATGAACCATCATAGGCACAACAGAGAGATAGGGGAGAGCAGGCTGAGATTTAAGGTAAGAGTGATGTCCCGGAATTTTCTAAAATCACTAGCCCAGTTTTTAACCAATCTTTTTTTGCCCACGCACGCAGAGCTGAGCACCTAAAAAAAAAAGCTCAACACCCTATCCTGTCCATCCCTTTGCTGCGACACACTTTAATTTTATCTAGTCCCAATAAAACTGTACAATAGATTTGTCTACCTCCTTGCACAATGTCTGCACATGTATCGGGCCATGCATACTTATTACTAATCACAGACGTGAATTATTCATCACTTCATAATCACTATTGACTCTGTGGGCAAGATCCACCAAAGTTGCAGGCTGGATGTGGTCCGCTGGATGTAGTTTGCCAAGCCACATTTGTAGAATAAAACTTACAGCAGGTGCCATGTGTTTGGAAATCAAGCCATTACAAAGAAAGGCAGGGATTAACTTTTAAAAGTATACTGTCCCCCCCCCCCTCTTTTTTTCCCTTTTTCAGTTGGTTCTTTCACAGAGATTAAATAATTTTCTCCTCCACCCCCCCCCCCCCCCCCCACACACACACTTCAGAGCATATACCTTCACACAGGGAGACATTGCTTTAGAAGATTATCATTATTATGTCAAATAATGATATTTATTGAAAACCAAACAGATTGTTGATTGACATAACAACTGAACATACCAACTGCAAGTATCAACTCAACTAGCATTAACACAAAGAAGAGAAAACAGTTTTTTTTAAATTTTAAATTTTACATAAATAATCAAAGAGAGTATGAACGGACATCAATCAGACAAATGGTCCAAAATAACAAATTGCAATATGAACATGAGAGAGATTTGTTTTTTCCCTTGGCTTCAATTGTTGCCACGACTGATTGGATGTTGGAATGGAACAATTGTTGCCACTACTGGTTGGATGTTGGAATGGAACAATTGTTGCCACTACTGGTTGGATGTGGGAATGGAACAATTGTTGCCACCACTGGTTGGATGTGGGAATGCAACAATTGTTGCCACCACTGGTTGGATGTGGGAATGGAACAACTGTTGCCACTACTGGTTGGATGTTGGAATGGAACAATTGTTGCCACCACTGGTTGGATGTGGGAATGGAACAATTGTTGCCACCACTGGTTGGATGTTGGAATGGAACAATTGTTGCCACTACTGGTTGGATGTGGGAATGGAACTATTGTTGCCACCACCCGTTGGCTGTGGGAATGGAACAATTGTTGCCACCACCGTTTGGATGTGGAAATGGAACAAATGTTGCCACCACTGGTTGGATGTGGAAATGGAACAAATGTTGCCACCACTGGTTGGATGTGGGAATGGAACAATGGCACTGCTATTTTAAGTTGATGACTTTGAAAGCACTGAATGAGTATTCAAGGTTTATTTTTGTTTAAAATATTAAAGTAAAGAACCGATTCTATCTGTGGTCATATGATGCATATGTTTGACCACAGAACCAGAAAGAGGCTGAGTATCATAAGAAAGTAGACCAGGAGAACAGAAGGTTCCAGAACGTGATGGCACAGCAAAAAAATCAGCAGCTGTTTTCACTGAGACAGTGGAGGGCCACCAAGAGATTCTTCAATGGCGAAAGAGGGGCTTGGAAGGACAAGTAAGTCACTTAGTCTGGTCTAGTGACTCACATTGTTTGAATGGTCTCAGTCAGGGTCTGCCACCTTTTTGGACTGAGGAGCCACTTTTATAAAGTATATCTGCTGTGCAAATATTTTTGGACTGCTGGTCTTGGTTGAATATTTGAATTTTAAGTTGCTCTTGATACAAATATTTTTCTTAGTGAGGTAACTTTATATTCTAGAAAGTCATGTGAATGGGTAGACAACTCTAACTTATAAAACATTTGTTGCGTGCCCCTGTTTTCGCCAGACATCAACAAGTGGTCCACTGGAAACTGTCTAACAAAGAAAACTTCCAGCGCATGAAAGTAAAACTGACCCAGAACTACAATTTTGATAGTCACATCAATGCCAGCCACCTCAGTGACAATATGGGTATGTATAGGACAGGGGACCCCAGCCACCTCAGGGACTATGTGGGTATGTATAGCACAAGGGCCCCCAGCCAACTCAGGGACAATGTGGGTATATATAGCACAAGGGCCCCCAGCCAACTCGGGGACAATGTGAGTGTGTATAACTCAGGGGCCCCCAGCCAATTCAGGGACAATGAGGGTATGTATAACTCAGGGGCACCCAGCCAACTCAGGGACAATGTGAGTATGTATAACTCAGGGGCCCCCAGCCAATTCAGGGACAATGTGAGTATGTCTAACACAGGGTTCCCATACCTCAGGGACAATATGGGTATTCACTTTGTGATAGGGATTTCCTGTCACTTCATGGACAATATGTGTATGTACTGTAATAAGTCCCCTGTCACTTCATGGACAATATGTGTATGTACTGTAATAAGTCCCCTGTCACTTCATGGACAATATGTGTATGTACTGTAATAAGTCCCCTGTCACTTCATGGACAATGTGGGTCTGTACTCTAACACAGGGGTCCCCGGTTATTTTGGGGGATAATTTGGAATTGTAATATTGGGATTCCCAGTCATCTCAGGGAAAATTTTGATATTTTTAGGAGCAATTGATACTGGGACATCACTCCGCTTAGAAGAACTCAAGGGAGTTAAAGAAGCTTTGGTATCAAAAGAAAACATTGCAGATGACACACTTGGAGATGAAGAGTGGAGCGCCATCTCAGCTTCAAGGTATGACTTTGACCCTAGTATCAACATAAACTTGTTCATCCTCAACCAACCAAAACTACACTTTATTTGGAAACAAGTTCTGCATTGTTAATTAAGACTACAATGTATGTACCGGGTAGCTTTAACTTACATGTTGTCAAACAATGGTGTAAACCAGGGGCCTCCGGCCTGCAGAGACCTTTTTGTCTACGGAAAAAGTTACGTAAATTCACGTGTATCCTGCCAAGATCAGACGCTGCTTACGTGGTCGTTATGTTTTTACCAAATTAAAATAGGGGCGCGCAGTACTGCGTTATGTTTTTTAACCAATCATTACTTGGCAAAAACTTATTCGCTGCTTAGTTTTTCTGCTTCCGTTCACAGTCAATGAGATGATATAACGCCATCTAGTGGCGGAGCTTTGCCCGCCGTGTTGCAGACATGTTTCGTCAATTTTTAATTGCAATGGATGAATAGCTGGATAGCTATTCCAACCCTCAACTGCTTGTTTTCGTTAGAGGTGTGGATGAAGACATGAACATAACACAAGAGCTGACTTCCCTACATAGCATGTAGGACTCTGTTACCGGAGAGGATATATTAATTGAGTTAAAAAAAAATTTGCTGATTATAACTTGGACTGGACTAACCCCAGTTGCCTGACTGTTGACAGAGAAAAGAAAATGAGTGGCACAAAGAAAGGCTTGGTTGGACACGTGAAGCAGATGTGTCATGAGAAAAAAACAAACATTCTATACAGCCAATTTTCCTGCACTGTATTATTCAACAGAAAGCTTTGTGTGATAAATATGTGAAGATTAGCAGCGTGCTGAATCCTGTGGTGAAGAGGGTTAATTTAATAAGGTCACGTGGGCTCAACCATAGACAGTTCAGAGACCTGTTGAAAGATACAGACACAGAATAGCAAGTATTACCATATTACCCAGCAGTAAGATGGCTAAGTTATGAGAAAGTTCTAAGCAGAGCATTTAAGTTAAGAAAGGAAATAGGTGACTTCCTGGAAAGTAGAGGCAAGACACAGCCATTAAGTTTGATGAGGAGTTTTATGGAAAATGTTCTTTGCTGCAGATATAACTAATCATTTAAATTTTCTGAACCTTAAACTACATGGAGAGGAAAATCTATTTTTTGATCTATATACCCACCTTAAGGCCTTCAGATCCGAATTCGTCTTGTTTTTTGGAACAAGTACAGGTCAAAAACTTGACACACTTTCAGCAGTGGATGGTCTTCATGGCTGAGGCAACAGTGGAGTTCCCGCATCATTTGTATGCGAGATCATCAAAAACCCCACAGCTGCAGTGTCAAAAGTGTTTTTTTAAAATTGGATTTAAAGGCAGAAGAAGTGAGCCTTTTTCAAAAGCATATTTATTTATTTAGGCATTTTTATATAGCGCTTACCTTACAGCTCTAAGCGCTTTACAATTATTAAAAACATGTAACCTATTTAAACTACTAAAGTAAAATAAAAATGAAAAACCAGAGACACTAGAATAGTAACTACTATATTAAAAATGACTATAGAAACAGTAGCTTAAACATTAAAATGGCTATAAAAACAAGTACACTTTGGCATATTTGGCCAGTCGCCCAGATGAACTGCACCTGGAGCTCATTGAGCCTTAGGGACAAGTTAAAAGTAGGACCAGTGGGTTTTTAATTTGTTTTCGCCCATGGAAGACTTCCCTAATTTCAAAACATTTTCACCAAGGTACCTTTCAATCTTTGGAACAACATACCTGTGTGAACAAACATTTTCAAGAACGAAATACGCAAAGAACAATCGAGAACAAATTTGACCAATGATAATCTCAGGTCACTGTTGATGTTAGAGACATCAAATCTACATCCAGAAATGTTTGCTAATCACTGTTACTTTGGCATCAGGGAAACTATTCCACCATTGCCACTAATACAGGTGTTCAGGGGAAACTATTCCACCATTGCCACTAATACAGGTGTTCATGTGTCGTGTAGCAATGTGTTATTAAATAATTACTGAAAGAAAATAACAATACATACTTAATTAAAAACAACAGTCATGTTTTGATTCTTTTTTATTTGGACCTCGATTTTGTTTGATAGCTAATGCTGCCCTCAGGCTGAAAAGTTTGGAGACCCCTGGTGTAAACTAGAAGTAATCAGCCACACATGCCAACCTGTACATTTTGTTAGTAATTATTACGAGTGTTAACCTTTTTCAAAAGTTGTACAGTCATACATGATTCTTTGCGGTTTTCAATGGATTTAGAAAAGAACATTATTTGCACATGACACGACAGTGACGACACAGAATTGAAATCTTAACTGGCAGTGCAATAAATTGGTCAACAGAAAGCTGAAATCCTATTGGTCTGTTCAAAATGACCTTTGGTCCACAGTTCAAAGATTGGTTAGGCCATCTAAATATAGAAACTGTGCACAGCTTCATTGAGAATCACAGAGACCAATCAGTAATAGTACTGCCCATTCGTTATTAGTACTGCAGCCTTGCTCGGTAGAAACTACTTTGAGTAGTTAACCATGATTACACATCAGTTTGTGTGATTCTTATTAACACCTCATATCCACAAAGCGCATATGTTAAAAAAAATAATAAAACTCTCCACAGGACTTTTCCCATGCTATGTTGAAGCTACAGCTATAAATTGACGGTAGAGTTAATAGATTTGTCGCAAAATATATTCCCTTTCATTAATTTTGAAACAGGAACCTTTATTACTACAGCTAGCATAATGAACCGAAGAATGTCTAATTACATCTGCTATCAAATTGAACATCCATTTTATATAAAAATTGCTACGGACCAGTGTAATTATGCACACACAGCGAAGGGGAGATTATTCTTGAAAATTAGGTCAAACCAGAAGGCAAAGTTTGCATGCAGTGAAATCATTGATAGTTAAAGGATGAAAATGTTACCTTTTTTTTTCAAATTTTTTGTTTCCTAATATTTTTCATGCTGTTATATAGATTTTGGGGGAATTTTGTACAGTTTCTTTTATCCCAACAGGTTGCCATGTATGACATCCATGGATAGTTTTGATTTTACTTGTTACTGGTGTTAGCCTTGCCATGTGCAAAGAATTATCGTTCTGAAATTGAAACAATATCACATCGTAATTAGGAAATCTGTCAAGCAACTAATCACAGGCATGTTTACCCTCAAACTCTTAAAATCGTACATTATCACCAAATTTTTCAATACATTATCATAGTAGTAAAAATAAACATACAGTATATATAACGTATACACCTCAAAATCGTACATTGTACGACAAAATCGTAAGAGTAAACAATTCACAATGAATTAAAAGTCTAGAAGATATAGAAAATATCCAGAACTTGTATTTGTAACTTCTGTATGTGTAAGACTCCACTGGCACATCACATTGGCCTCTACCTTGTTGCCCCTTGTATTTCCAGTGCCAACATTTAAGAATAGACTGGGCGAGAAAAGCTGGTCATCTCTGCTGACTGTGAACTTATCACGGTGACGGATGATATTAAAGGAAGGCTTGAGGTCACCATGACCCATGTATATTTCTTCGACTGCAGCCCCGACAAGGAAGAGGGTGAGAATAACGATCTCATCATATGTACAGCGCATATATGCCGGTCCGCCTGTTGAATTTCCTGTTGATGGTCATTTTTATTTGCTTTTTTCCCAAGTATCTAACTGCAGATTTGATTTTAAATGAAATACCTTTTTTAGATCTTTTTTAAACAATATTTGGCCTTTTGTTCAATCTGTTTGGACAGACAACCTTGACCCCTGTTAAATCACCTTTCATACATCCTAGGGAGCTGTCCTAAAGCACATAACTACAACCAGCTTGGAATCTTGCTTGATCTTTTAAATCCATGATATTATTTTTTACACACTGTGTCCGGATAAAAATGGAACCCTTTTTAAAATGGTGGACACTAATGGTAAATACCTATCAATTTTTTAAAATTCCAAAACTCATTTTTATTCTAACGTAATGTTATAACTTATCAAGGACCATTCATTTTTTGGGGGGTAAATATGTCAGGACTAAAGTGAGATGTATTTTTTAAATTGATGAATATCTACATGTGTTTTTCATCATCATCAGAAGTGTTCACTTTTTTTAATCCGGACACAGTGTGGCTTCGTATTTCTGCTTGGAAATTTAAAAAAGAATCTAGTTTTAAATTGTAAGGGTGTTTCCATTTTTAAAAAAAATTTTTTACAATACTCATTTAAAATTGGGATGACAGTTTTTTAATGTTGCTTTCCCAAATTAAGACATTATAAAAAAATACTTTACTAATATCTCTTCAAGTGACAGTGTACTTTAAAAAATTTCTATACAACTACTTCAAGTGAGGGTGACAGTCTACTTTTAAAATGTATGTACAACTACTTCAAGTGAGAGTGACAGTCTCTTTTAAAAAATGTCTATACACACTCAGAATCCTTTCTCATGGGATCATGTGATAGTGAAAAAAAAATTGTTTAATTGTTTTTAAAAAAGCAGTTAACTATTTAACAAATTCTGTTTTGTGTTTTCAGGAGGTGAAGATTTTAAGTGGTCTTTGTCTCGACTTCAGGAAATTCACTTCCGTAGATACAACCTGAGACGTAGTGCCCTGGAAGTATTCCTCATCGATCAGAACTATTTCATCAACTTCCCTGAAAAGGTAGAGCGACCGTAGCATTTGATCTTTTCTATTGATAAACACAGTTCAACCAATGAAATTTAGGGTCATCAAACGAAGCTTAATAAGGGGTTCCTAACAACTTGCCTAAGATTGTGGTTTATAAATTAAGTTTAAGCCTATTGGAGTGTGAACTGAACACAAAAGAAGCAGCTTGAAAAAGCTGATAAGCGAAAGTTGTTATTTAAAAGCCTTGTTGTAAATGGACGGGGGCGGGGGTATTGGAAGTAAGACGCAAGGGGCATTAAAATGACATTTAAATTCTCAAACTCATAATTTTGTCTGCACTCTCTCCTCAGACCTTGCGTAATAAGATTTACAGTCACATATTGAGTTTACGACCTTTGAACCTGATCTACAAAGGTCAGAGGTCACCCTGAGACCTGCTCAGGGCTTCTGGTCTCACTCAGGTAATCAGGGGCAGTTATTGTGTTTATATACTTATAGGAATTATATACAATGGAATTCTTTGCCACTACACATCTGCAATATACCAACCACCCAGGCCTTCAAAAGTGCACTCTAAACACATCTATTTAAATTATACTACCCTGACTGATTCCCCTCCTCTGACCGATAAACGTTTTTGCGGGTTGCAGTCCATGGTTTGCCATGTAAAAGTTCTGGGGTGGGGTGGGGGAATATACATTTGTTTTGGTTGTTTTGGTTACATGCTGTTCTTAATTCATAAATGTAATTTATTTTAATGTCATGATTATGTCTCTTTTGCTAAGATTTTTATGTACAGCGCGGTGAGCCCAGCTCTAGGCTGGGGTACCGCGCTATATAAGACCGCTAATTATTATTATTATTATTACTCAGTCCCATATAAATCTTTGCTACTTGATTCAATATAAAAATATTTAACTCACTCCCACAATGTCCTTAGAAATGGGTGAACAGAGAGATCTCAAACTTTGAATACCTGATGCAGCTCAACACGATAGCAGGCGGCACCTACAATGACCTGAGCCAGTACCATGTGGTGAGTAGTATTGCTGACTTAAGCTTGGCCTCAAATGGGGGCATGTTTCAAGCTCCTTCTTTTTAACCTGAGAAGAATTTCTATTTCAACGGGCCCACATTGCAACCGCCAGCCGTCCCACATTAAAACCGCCGGCCAAACTTGAAACTAAATTTATGTTAGATCAAAGTATTTCCACAAAAAATTTAATAAATTTCATTATACCATAATATTAAGACTCCTTATCAAAAGGATAACATTTTGTTTGGAAATGAATAACATTTTCATTGATCTATGATTTGTTTCTTCAGTTTCCATGGATATTTATGGATTACACATCCAAGTTTTTGGACCTTGAAAACCCAATACCTTCCCGGGATCTGTCCAAACCCATCGGAGCAGTCAATTTACGCAATGAGGAGGAAGTACGTGAAAAGTAAGTCGGTAAACATGAAAACCATTCCCCGTAGATTATGTTAGAAAAGTAAGTTAATATCAAGGGTAATCAGCCCACATAGATTATTGTTACAAAAGTAAGTTAATATCAAGGGTAATCAGCCCACATAGATTATGTTAGAAAAGTAAGGTAATATCAAGGGTAATCAGCCCACATAGATTATGTTAGAAAAGTAAGTTAATATCAAGGGTAATCAGCCCACATAGATTATGTTAGAAAAGTAAGTTAATATCAAGGGTAATCAGCCCACATAGATTATGTTAGAAAAGTAAGGTAATATCAAGGGTAATCAGCCCACATAGATTATTGTTACAAAAGTAAGTTTATCTAATGACGCCATGCTGAAATCCATCCATTGTATTGGACCCACTTTGTAATATCTGGATTGAACAACCACTCTGACAACAACCTATATTCCCTTAAATTCAACATCACACCGCAGCACTTTTTTCCAAATTAACGATATCCTCTTTTATCACTTCCTTCCTAAGGTTAATTTTTTTTTCATGTTAGCCGTATTCTATTTTTTTTTCTTATTTCATAAGGTTAATTTTTAAAAATAAAAACTATATTTATTGATTATAATATGTTTGACAATATTTCTTGTTTACCTTAGTGTCAGAATGCCAGCATACCCAATAATTGTGTCAACAGAGTGATTTGAGTTATTGAGAAAGGATTTGAATGACTTTAAATATTCACCAGGAACAGCCAGAATTTAAAAAAAAATCATGCCTTAAAAAAGGTTCTTTCTTAAACATCCTAGAGTATCAAATACTAGACTAGATGACTTATCCTTTCCCAACATCATAGAGTATCAAATACTAGACTAGATGACTTATCCTTTCCCAACATCATAGAGTATCAAATACTAGACTAGATGACTTATCCTTTCCCAACATCATAGAGTATCAAATAATAGACTAGATTACTGATCCTTTCCCAACATCCTAGAGTATCAAATACTAGACTAGATGACTTATCCTTTCCCAACATCATAGAGTATCAAATAATAGACTAGATTACTGATCCTTTCCCAACATCATAGAGTATCAAATACTAGACTAGATTACTGATCCTTTCCCAACATCATAGAGTATCAAATACTAGACTAGATGACTGATCCTTTCCCAACATCATAGAGTATCAAATACTAGACTAGATTACTGATCCTTTCCCAACATCATAGAGTATCAAATACTAGACTAGATTACTGATCCTTTCCCAACATCATAGAGTATCAAATACTAGACTAGATGACTGATCCTTTCCCAACAGATACAACACCTTGGAGGACCCGTCTGGGATTATAGAAAAGTTTCACTACGGCACCCACTACCGCAATGCTGCCAGCGTCATGCACTATTTGGATATGGTCGAGCCGTTTACAACTCTGCACATAGAGCTTCAGAGTGGCAAGTGAGTGCAATAGAGATGCTGGTGGAAGGGAGGGGGGTTACAATACTGCACATAGAGCTTCAGAGTGGCAAGTAAGTGCATAGAGACACTGGTGGATGCTAGTGGAAGGGAGTGGGGTTACAATACTGCACATAGCGCTTCAGAGTGGCAAGTAAGTGCATAGAAATATAGAGACAGTGGTGGATGCTGGTGGATGCTGCGGGTGGGGCAGGTGGCAGCCAATTTAGTCCCCCAATCCCTTACTCTGCTGACATTTTTTTAATATGTTCATGAATTCACTGAGGCTACTTGTACGTTGTGTAACTGGACAGTACATGAATGTAATTTCCATCTGTACACGATCAACTGTATAAAAAGACATTGCATCTGTGTAAATTTCTGAAATCCAATGGGCTATTGCTAGAGCTGTGCATGAAAATATTGACATGAAATCAAATAGGATTCAACAGGAATGCTGAAGTTTTCAGTAGGTGGATAACCAAATCTGTTTATATAGTGGAAAGTTGATCCTTCTTTTATTAAAAGCTTAGACAATACTTCCTTAGGAATGGGTAAGAACAGGATTTCTGAAAGAACAGTTTGTGTGAAAGAACAGGTTGCGTAGGAGGACAGGCTGTGTGAAAAAACAGGTTGTGTGAAAGAACAGGTTGAGTGAAAGAACAGGTTGTGTGAAAAAACAGGTTGTGTGAAAGAACAGGTTGAGTGAAAGAACAGGTTGTGTGAAAGAACAGGTTGTGTGAAAGAACAGGTTGTGTGAAAGAACAGATTGTGTGAAAGAACAGGTTGAGTGAAAGAACAGGTTGAGTGAAAGAACAGGTTGAGTAGAGAGACAGGTTGTGTAAATCTGGAGGTGAAAAAAACGCCTATCTCCTATCCTGTACACTTGATTACCGAGTCATGTTCTTCTATTAAGTTATTATTTAATAACACATTGATACACTACACCTGTCTTAGTGGCAATTGTGAAATTGTTTCCTGG